AAAAAAAAAAAAGGTCGATGTTTAACCATTTCAAGAGGTAGCATATGATCAGGAGCCAGTGATACTGATGGAAAAAGTCCAAGGTGCATTGAAGGCATTGGCAAAGAACAAGGCATTGAGAACTGACGGAATGCATATTGAAATCTTTCAACAAACTGATGCAGCACTGGACGCATTCACTCATCTTTGTCAAGAAATTTGGAAGACAACTACATGGACAGCTGACTGGAAGAGATCCGTATTTGTGCCCATTCCAAAGAGAGGTGACTCAATGCAATGCAGAAATCATCACACAATATCATTAATATTCCATGCAGGTAAAATTTTCCTCAAGATAATTCAAAAATGACTGCAATAAAATAAAATAAAATAAAATGACTGCGAGAGTACATTGACAGAGAACTGTCAGAGGCTCAAGCCAGATTCAGACAAAAACATGAACAAGGGATATCATTGCTGATATCAGATGAATCTTGGCTAAATGCAGAGAACACCAAATAGATGTTTACCTGTGTTTTAATGACTACACAAAGTCTTTGATTTGTGTGTTATGACAAGCTATGGACAACATTGCAGAAAATGAGTATTCTGGAACACTTAATTGTGTTCATGAGGAACTATACATAGACCAAGAGGCAGTCATTCAAACAGAACAAAGGGACACGGAAAGGTTTTAAATGAGGAAAGGTGTGCATCAGGGTTTTATTCTTTCACCATATTTATTCAATCTGTATGCTGAGCAAGTAATCCTAGAAGCTAGATTATATTGAGAGGAATGTTGCATCAGGATTGGAGGACTACTCAAAAACAAAAACAAAAACAAAAACCCTGCAATATGCAGATGGTTCAACCTTGTTTTCTGAAAGCAAAAAGGGCTTAAAATACTTACTGATGAAGATCAAATGCCACAGCCTTTGGTATGGGTTGCCCCTCAATGTAAAGAAACAAAAATCCTCACCACTGGACCAATAAATAGTGTCAAGATAAATGGAGAAAAGACTGAAGTTGTCAAAGACAACATTAGCACTCATGGCAGTTGTTGTTAAGTGCCATTGAGTCAGTTCTGACTCATAGCAACCCTATAGGGTGTCAGAAGAGCGGATGGAGAGCTTAAAGTGCTGACCTTGCTGTCCAAACTGACCTTGAAGTCCAGCACATTAACCTACAGCACCACACCAGGACTCCTTCATGGAAGCAGCAATTAAGAAATCAAATGACATATTGCACGAGGCAAATCTGCTACCTAAGACCTCTTTAAAGTGTCCAAGA